TAAAGTCAAAATCAGTTACCTGTGATTCTAGCAGAGCTTGTAAAAAGCAAGATGGTTTTAAAGGTTCCAGAGAGATAGCATTGTCCCCCTCGACGTATGTAAGCGGCCGGTCATTGACGACGGCTTCACAGTCACAAAGTAGGGTCTCCATTTCTTCATACGACATAGATGACATACCTAAAACACGTCTTAAGAGATTTTTTATAATCTTAATCATACGCTCAAAAAACCCTCCCCACCAAGCAGCTGTGGGCGCGTTAATTTTCCATTTGATGCGCAGTATGGTGGATTGACGTTGTACCTCGTCCCAATCAACATTTGATAACAAGTTCTTAGTTCCAGTAAAGTTTGTACCATTATCAGTTATCATTATTTTGGCGCGTCCTCTTCGAGCTATGAATCTGCGCATAGTTCTAATAAAAGCATCAGTTGACAAAGACTGTGTCAACTCTAAATGAACTGCCCGATAAACGGTGCATGTATAGAGCACGATCCAGCATTTCTCTCCACCAAGTAAGTTTAATGGACCAGCTACATCGACTCCTGTCACCTCAAAGGGTGCTGTTGCTAGTACTCGTTCTATAGGCAGTGGTGCCGTTGTTGGTTGTGTTGACTTTGATCTGTGTCTTTTACAAATTACACATTTGTCTATTACTGATTTGACCAACCTTCTGACTCCTATAATCCAGAATCGTTTTCTGAGATCTGCAATTATCATATTAGTGCCAGCATGTAATAGTTGTTGATGTCGCTGCTCCACTAATCTTTGCACAACTGCATTCTTAGCTGGAAGAACTACTGGAGTCTTCACATTTTCTGGTAAGTCTGTAAGTAACAATTTTGTTTTTATTTTAATTATATTATTTTCGTCATAAAATTTAATTAATTTTCCACTTTGTTTTTCAATCATTTCTATGTTTTCTGTTTGTATGATTTTAATTATTTTAATTTCAGCTTCTTCATATTCTTCATAGGTTAATTCTCCTTTTCTTTTATGATTTAGGTTTCTGGTGTTGTATATAAAGCGTAACATCCATGCTGTCATTCGTACTATCTTTATGTACTTAGAGAAATAAGAAAGTGTATGCTCCATACCATCATTCGTACATGTATTTGTAGATACAGATTTCCTAAGTTCTTTGTTAGCTTCTTTCTCATCTACTACTAGTGCAGACCATGGCCACAACTCAGTTTGCTGAAGCAGCCATTGTGGCCCTGTCCACCACCTGGTTTCAAACAGTTAGCGTGCATTGCATCCTCTGGATGCTAAATCTGCCCAGTTTTCTGTACTTGCAATGTGGTGCCAATTACCTGGGTTAATGTTTTCTCTTATTTCTCTAACACGATTTCCAACATAAGTATTCCATGCCAGTTGTCTTTTAATCCAGCATAATGCCACTGCTGAGTCACACCAGCAGTATTCTTTACAATTTTCAAACTGAAGACGTTTCCTTGCTGCCATTATCAATCTTGAGCCTATTAATGCTGCTAACAATTCAAGGCGTGGTATAGTCATGTTGTCTGGCGCTATTCTCGACTTGGCATTTACTAAACGAATGACTACGAGTACATTACCTCCATTTTCAGTTCGGAGAAAAACACAAGCAGCATAGCCATTCTTACTAGCATCACAGAACATATGCAGACTGGTTTCACAGTCCTGTAGACATGCAGCTGACAATCTGCGAGGTAATCTGCAATTTTTCAAAAAATCTATATTATCATACCAGTCTTGGAAACGCAATATAATATCGTTGAGTAATTTTTCTTCCCATGTTATTTTTCTTTTCCGTATTTCTTTTAACAATAGTCTTGGAACAAGTGTCACGGGACTTAATATTCCTATAGGATCAAATATTCTTTGAGTCAATGATAGAATATTTCTTTTATTATACTTATCTATTTCAGAGATATATGGTAATGAAGTTAAATTACAAAATAGTTCATCAGTTGCAGTGTCCCATGATAACCCCAATATTGAAATTTCTGTTTCATTAATGTTTAGAGAAGAGGTCACCCACTGTCTTAAATCGAACTTTGCTTCATTCATTATATTTTAGCCTCCTGTATAAATTCGCGCGAGTCCTTCTCAGAGTCAAGGCTCATTATTAAATTATCTACATAAAAGGACTTGACTAATATATTTGCCGTATTTTTCTGCTCACCTGTTATATTCTTTAAGTGGTGTAAAATAGTTGCGGACAGTAAAAATGGACTTGACGTTAAACCAAACACTCCCTACAGTGTCTATACTCAATAATATCCTGTCACGTTTTATCTCTCCACCACAAGAATCTTAAGTAATTTCTGTCTTCTGGATTTACTGATATTTGCAGAAATGCCTTTGCTATGTTAGCTGATATACCAATACTGCCTTTGCGGAAACCAATTAACAAATCAGGTATTTTATCTAAAAAATTGATGCCTTTGTCTAAGCATGCATTTAGTGATTTACCATTTTTATCTTTTGCAGATGCATCATATACTGGTCGCAGCTTTGTGGTGAGACTAGCTTCTTTGGATATCGCTCTGTGAGTTAAGTAATGAATCCCATTTTTATTCATCTCCCACTGAGGGACAGGTTCATGATATTGGACCGCTCCCATCCTCTTATTATATTATCATAATCATTAAATTTATTACATGTTACTGACCTGTTTGTTGCAGTATGCAGTCGACGTTCGGCAAGATCACGGTTGCTCAAGATATCGTCGTGGCCAGATTTCCATGGAAGACACACCTCATACCTGCCTTCTTTGTTGACTTGAATATTTTCTTCAAAGTTTAATATTACTGCACCTTCTTTTTGCTGCTTGGATTGCACATGTACTGGATCTTGAATACCTATAATTTCTAAATATCAAAAATTATTTATATTTTGTATACAAAATAAAGATGTTACAAAATTTGAATTTACTAAAGTGTCTTTTGTTTTTCCCTGTAAAGTCCAACCAAGATTAGTCTTAATAGCAGTTAACCCATTGCCTAGCTGAACAAAGGTCTTTGTAAGTAAAAGTCCTGAATAATCAGCACCTATTAAGAGACCTATGTCAGTATTGTCACCTTAATCAGTTTACTTAATCTGGTGTTTATTTAATAACTCAGAGATAGCATTCGTTAACTCTAGGTACATTTTTACAAATAGTATTTTGACCTAATGCAGACATTTCAAATTCAAAAGAATTGTCCATACTTTTCACTTTAAAATTATATGAATTAAATTACTTAAAGGATACCGTTACACCACCAAACAAGGAATGACTGAGTTCTTCTTTGCCCCCGGGGATCATTGCATTCTCTTCTATCACTTTTTTCTTTATGTATGATCGTTGTGAACTACTATCAAACAATGCTCGAACAGTAGATGTTTTATCCCCTTGAGCGATTGGCACCATAACAGTTTGTAACAACGTAGTACTGCTTGTAGATGGCTTATGTGCTGCATAATTTTGAACTGATGGAATAGTACAGTGACTTTTCTTCTGCTTCTCATGGTGTTGTGGACTTGAAACGATTCCTGGACATAATATTGGAGAATGAGACTGGCTGTATACAAATCATTTAATATAACTCTTGCAAGCCTTCGCATAGTGTCCCTTTAAACACCGTGTACATACCTTCTTTTTTCGGGTGCTCACGTCTCTCTTCCAGTGACATCTTAGATATTTTGTAGCAACTTGTACTATGGTGTGTGCTCTTGTCACACCAAACACATTTTAAGTTAGTGTCTTCCCTTTCTTTTATATTGACATTAATGCAGGACGCGGTTGGCTCTGATTTTGTTGATCTATTGTCAACTTTAAAGGTAGAAGCTAGCTCCATTCCTTGATTGCTTTCTACTTCTTTCTTCAAAAATGTTAACAAATCATTTAATTCTTCCTTTGTGTCTGATGGTTTAACTCGCTCCCAAGCTTTCAAAATGTCCTTTGGTAATGCAGATTCCACCATCGGTAGCAAAAATGCTGAATATTTTTCTTTAGTCACATGCAGAACTTCTAATGCTCTCAAGTGACTATTTATATTGTCATATAATGTGGTTAGATTTGAATTATTTTCTTTTGTTAGTATCAGTGATAGTAACTCTCGAAGAGATTTTAATTCGTTTAAACAAATACTGTAGTTTTCTTTAGTCAGTGGGAAACTTTCTACGAAGATTTGAACATCTGAGTCTTGTTCCAGCGACTGTGTTAAATATTGTAGTTTATCTACTTCATCAATCGATGAGTCTGAATGGACTTTTTTGAATTGTCCCCAGAATGTTAACCTCTCCTTTATATTCCCGTTTAATTTCTTAATTTCTAGAATGGGTAACTTAGAGAAAATCTTATTTGTATTTTGGGGTTTTACAACTTCATTTTTAGAAAAGTTAAGGTAATTAGTTTCTAATAATGCCTGGTCTGGTATTTACCAGTTTCTTCCAGTTCTTTTTCCAGATCTTTCTCATCCCAATTTTCTTTCGACGTGATTAGTTCACGTATTTCAAAGTCCAAAAATAATTAATTGGGTGAATGTATTTTTAGTTATTTTATAGCATGCTTAGTTTCTTGCAATTTACTATAATCTATTTGTTGAAGTAATGCCTCAAAGTTATTAGCAGACTTCGTGCAATGGCGTCTTACTACGGCACGTACTTTAGTTTTTTTTTTTTCCATTATGTAAATGTACTTACAATTTTTTTTTTGCCAATTATTGACCAGGGTCGCCAGTTGTTCAGCACGGTGTCAGGAACTAAGAATGTAATACTGTAGTCACGAATAAATCAAATAACCATTGCTTGATTATTTAAAACATGCCATTTATTTCGTCGCTATTTTCACACACCACTGACCCAGATGAACACAGACCAAAGATAAGAAATCGGACACGGAACTCAGAGTTACACATTAAAAATCTCAGTTAAAAATCATAGACGAATCGATGCATTCATATTCAATAATGTTGTAAACAGTTTGACTACTACGATTATTAGGCACTAATATATTGATTGTAGACGCAATTCGTTAAGATGCTACAGATGTAGCAGAAGAAATCAAATATTTAACAGCTATTTCTGATAGCACAGGAGTGAAATATCTACTATCAATCCAAAATTTTAGTGCACTTGATGATCTTGAAATATTTGGTTGATCTAAATACTGTTCTGATTCAGCAGGCATTGTACCAAAACCTCTACCAAAAACTTCATAGGCATTAGACATATTCTTCAAGAGCATATCTTCATGTCTGTCCCATAATGATGAGCTTGTTTCTTTCTTTCCGATCTGTGAGCGATTTCCTATTATTTTCTGTTCTGCAACTATTTCTTTTGATAGGTCTGATATTGCATTAGCAGCAGCCAATGCTGACATAAAATGTTACTTCTTAAAGCGGGGATCTAAGATAGTTGCTTTGACCAAAAAAAGGTTTTCTTGTAAAGACACTAATCTATCTTCAATACCTTTCAATAAATCATTTTGCACTGACACTCGTTGGACTTATTGGAGAAATCGAACAAACAAAAACATCAATAGCTATTGAGCTATTGATGTTTTTGTTTGTTCGATTTCTTGTTTTAGTAAATTTGTTAATGGTATTACTAAACTAACTGTGACATATTTCTCGGCACTTAAGTCTTCTGTCACTATTTTAAATGAACCAAGGAGCGTAACTAAATCACGCAAAATAGTTAACTGTGAAGTAGCTTCCATATCAGGATCATTATTCTTAGTTCTTGATGCTTATACCTTTGCGACAATTGAAGATAATTTCAGGAATCTTTCCATCATGTCCAAACAACAATTTCAACAAGTACTAATTGCTTAAATGAGCATCAATACTTGGCGTTCTTTCTTTCCTTCTGCTAATTGCTCTGATCGTAATTGATCAGAAGCACTGAGTGTCGAATTTAATCCGCTTTAATCCTTCTTTTTCAACACAAGAAAAAGGTAAATTATCTTTAATAATCATGTAGACTAAGCTTTGGGTGATTGCAATATTGCGATCCCCGACATCTGATATTAAAAGTAATATTAATAAATAAGCTCAAATATAAAATTTATATTTACAATAAAAATTTCAAGTCATAACTTGCATTTTTTTTTCAAACATTTGCAAAACAGTTTGTTGTTTTCATTTCGCTGATTTTGAAAAGACAGAAATAGTATGTAAACTTTCCTTATCCTCCCATTGGTGGTTAATCTAAAATATAAATATTTAGAGTTTATAGATTACAATTGTAAAATTGTAAAGTTTGTTTAATTTATCTTCACCAAAAAATTTTTGCAAACAAATTATGTTACCTGATTAACTACATCCTCATTCTTATCATAAAAGCTAGAGCTACTGCTGTGAGATTCAGAAAGACTAGTATTTGATTTTGATAGTGGTAGCAATGTTTTCTTCTGCATTATTAGTGATAGCTTTCTTAATATTTGTCCTTTATATTATGCATAGCTGGGCATATGAATGATGGTGTTTACTTTTTAAGTGGGTTGCTAAATTAGCAGTATTTCCACTGCTTTTGTAATTTTTTCCGCATAAGTTACAAGAAACATTGCTTGTATCTAATTTTTTAAAATATGATCGCACAATAAAAATTTTTGAAGACGACATATTTTGGCACTTCACTAATTTTTATGAAACTAGATTTTAAACAAATTACCTAATATGAATAAACACATGCTTTTCCGCTACACTACTACAAGACAGACAGTAATATTTCATACCCTCGCTTTTTAACTTCGCTCGTTGCCCTCGTTGCTTATCACAGACCATATATACACATATTAAAGGTGGCCGATACAAACCGTATATAGATACATAAACTATATATTGGTAGAATATCTAAAAATCGCTTACAGGCTTGTTTCAAATGTGCGTATTACAGAATCTAGATACGCAGCATATCTCTTACTCACTCCGCATCGGCTGCATGATATGCGTGCGACAGAGCGCGAGCGAAGAATCCAGTATAGAGAATATCAGATATTCATCGCAAAACTGATATATCTTTATCGCAGTGAGTGAGAGGAATACAGTTGTTACAGCAAGATAGCAATAATTTGTACCAAAATCACAAGTGCGTGTTTGTGACTTTTATGCAGTAATGATAAGGTTGAAATTCAAATAATAAATTGATATGTTAACAAACTATAAAAGAGTAGATATCGAACGAATCAGATTTAAAATACATACTCGTACTAACAATATCAGATATTAAAATATATAGTTTTAAAATCCGATATTGAAAATCGAAATCAGATATCGATACGATTCTCAAAAAAGCGATACGACCCAGGATTAACACTTATCATAAACGAAGTAGAAGTAGAGATGCTAAAAGTGACAGGGACAAGTGATAACTAACAACAGCAATAAGCAGATACTAGCTACATATTTTTGTAGTTGAAATAATTGCCGAGAAAAAATAAAAATTTATTTAAAAAAAATATCGAGTGTCGATATCAAGTCTATCTACAAACTATCGATATATTGCCAAAAAAGTATTAGTAATAAATATCGATAATCGATATTTTATCAATAGTCCTACTAATTACTATTTTAATAATGTAGTATGTGTATACTACAATTGTAGTATGTGTATACCGACCCCCTGACAGCGACTATGGAACTTTTGAATCGCTAATGGAAGATGTACTTAGGAAATTACAGACAACAAACAAATATTTGGTTGTATGTGGTGATTTTAATGTAGATCTTCTAGTGAACAGTACAACATCCGTTCGTTTGCTATCATTATTTAAATGCTTCAATCTATTCAATCAATTTCTTGAGCCTACTAGAGTAACAGCACATTCAGCCACTTGTTTGGATAATATATATTTTAATTATGATCCAATTAATAAAGTAGTATTCAACAATCTTACATCTGACCATTACGGATTGAAGACCACATATAGGATGAAGATATTCTGACACTTAATTTGTAGAACTACATATGTGGGTGGTGTTACGGTTTCTTGCACTCTTTTTAAATTTGATCTTCATTATTTTGTCTTCTTCCGATAGTTCTATAAAAATATTGCTATTTTGATCTTTTATAGCTTGTAATTCTTTTTTATCTTCAATATAGTAAGATGTCTTCAATGCATCTCTCAGTATTACTAATGGATCCTTATTTCTGTTTTTTTTTTTTCTACTTTAAGCCCTTTACTATTTTGTATTTTCTCTAAAAACCATATATTTAGTACAGACGTCAATGGTGTGGTGGCCATTCATCGTGTGAATGCGAATAAAATTGCAGTTATATTTAAGCAAAGTAACGCGGCTAACAACTTCCTCATGAACACGCCTTTCTAGACAGGTATTAAATGAAAGCATACATCCCGGCTGCTCAAATTGAAAAAACTGGAGTCATCAGACATGTTCCGGCCAATAAATCGAATAAAGAACTTTATTACAAATTATCATCAACATATGAAATTATAGCAGTGCGTCGATTCACGAAAAAAGTCGGTCAGAATAGGGTGCCTTTACAAACTGTTAACATCACATTCTTGTCTTGTACATTACGTGACAATGTGTAATATGACTTGTTTTCCTACAGAGTTTCTGAAAACATTCCTCCTCTGCAGCAATGTTACCGTTGTTTTAAGTTCAATCATTCTTCAAAAAATTGTAATGGCAATCAACGCTGTAGTCTTTGCTCCGGCAAACATTTTTATAAAGAATGCGACAAGCCTAATGAACTTTGTTGTGTTAACTGTAGTGGACCACACTTAGCAATATCAAATTAACTTACGCCATTACTCTTAACACCTCAAAAGAAAAAAGTTATGATGAGAATTTTCCAGCTCTACGAAATGTAAATAAATATAATTATAATACTTAATCCGACCTTGGTACCAAAGAGTACAAATAATATTCTAAATGTAAAATCTGTCCCACAAAAAAGTTTTCGTTACATGAACTAAAGAATCAATTAATTAATAATACTGAAATCACAAATGCCATCGTTCCAACACTTGTTGCGATAGCTAATAAAGGGGACGATATTCCAGTTACTTCATTGTCAATTAAAAAAATATTAATTCAAAATTTATCTTAGCTATGGATAGCTGTAACCCAAATGATATTTCCACGTTAAGGATTGCCCAATATAATATTCAAAGTATCTATAATAAAGTAACTCTTTTAATATTTTTTTTTAGGAAAAATAATATAGACATCTACCTCTTAAATGAAACTTGGTTGAAAGAAAGTAGACCTTGTATTATACCTGGTTATAACATTTATTATAAAAATGCTTCAAACGAGCACGGTGGTGTAGCTATCCTAATAAAACCATTCTTTAAATATAAAGTTTTACTCACAATTTTCTATGAAGACATTCAAACTATAGCTCTGTCTTTATCTACCTCCTCTGGTGATCTTACTATTTTGTGTGTTTACTGTCAGGAGATTTTAATGCTAATCACCTCACTTTTGGTTTGCTTATCAACTAAAATACGAGGAGAGCAATTGTACACTATTTTGGATGATTTAGATTTATGTTTCCTTAATTTAGGTAATTTCACCACTATTAACTACTCTAATCGAAATCTATCTGCTATAGATATTAGTTTAGCTAGTCCATGCATTACGCCTACATGTAATTGGTTAGTCCATGATCATATTTTCCTTTAATTACAATGATTACGACTGTGATAAATAAATATAATTCTAATCCCCTAAATAATTTATTTATAGCAAAACTGATTGGAACAAGTATAATGAACTCACTCAATTTTATTTTAAAAATATTTACCCCAATCCTTGCGACCCCCTTACTTCATATAATGAATTTTGTGAAAAACTTGACTTACTAAAATTGTCATGTGTCCCAAAAGTCACTAAAACCTACAGAAGTGAACTACCTGCTCCCTGGTGGAACGACAAATGAGAGAAAGTTTAATGAAGGCAAAAGAGGCATTAAAGTTCTACAGGCGTTATCCCACTATGGTAAACTATTCGTATTCGTATTGAAACGGCACACCGTTACGAATCATTCGACGCCTCGGATAAATGTACAGAAAAGTTCGAGGCAACTCTAAATCTATTTGACGGGCATTTTATACCACACAAGAATATAACTTGCGAGAGGTATAAATTTATAAATAGAAAACACTTTCGAGCCGAAAGTTACGAGCAATATGATATTGCGTTAAAAAAAATCAATTGATAACAGATATATTTATAATTGGTATACAAAATAAAAGTCTCCAGCAAATATTACTATCAATACAAAAAGTTACCCTAAAATTAACATTAGATACCTGTCGAGTAAATGCAGTTGTTGCTGATCAAGTTCAATAGATGAATGATCATACAGCCGTTAACATAAAGAAATAAATTGACAGTGATTTCTTGA